TCTCTCATCTTAATAACAATTAATTAACTAAAATGTTGTACAGAATTATATGGAATGAATAAAAAAATGGGAAGGATAATGGATTTCAATCGGTTTGACAACACTTTCTTCGGACTAATGGATGAATTGGTGTTTCAATTAAAACCAGAGGAAAGGATAGTATTGGAAACAGTATACGAGGCCATTATGGATGCGGGTATGTGTTTGAGTATTACATATTAGTAAAGACTGAACTTATATTTAAGAATAACATGCTTAATATTCAATATAATATTGACTTAAAATCTCTGAAATATTTAATTATATTTACTAACAATTTTTCATATATCTATTGCCATATAAGTATTATTAACATGAAATCCATATATTTAATTGTTTTAACTATTTATTGACATGCTTAAAGTTTAGAATTTTCATTTAAATATAATTTTTAATAATTTTAATAAATATTTTAACGTTTCCAAAATTATAGTGTGTTTATGTGGGATAGAAATCCGTTTTATTGTAGCCGTCATAATGGGATTCAATGATACTAATAATTATATTAAATATAACTTATTTTCACATATATTTCTGCTAATAATGCATTTTGTTTTTGTAATTAATATTTTGGTATAAATTTTCAAACGAAAATATGAAATTTATCATTATTTGCTGCATTTTATGGCAATATTTCAAAATATGTAACTACCTTCTCAAATATTGATTTATATTTAATTATGTAAAAATAACTTTTGCCAAAATGATCCTTAGTATATTATTCGGATAGATTTCTAATCAAACCTTAGCTATATCTTATCCCTAAAAATATGTGATTATGCATTTTAGAAGTCTTTACATATTAGATATTAAAAACTTGTAATTTTGGTTTTAAAATGTTTTTCAAATAATTGCGGTTTTGCTTCAGTTTTGTAAAATATGTGATTTTGTTTTGCTTTTGCTAAAATACCTATTGTTAATAATCATTAATTTAATAAAATTATTTTCCTAAATACTTAGTTAACTAGAATATAAAGTATTTTTTATATAACCATATTAAATAATTATTTGTGATTTTAAATTATATGCAATTAATTTATTAACATAACAATAGTAAGAATCATTTTGTTAATAAAATAATAATATCCGATAACAACAACAATAAATTAACTAAAAAACAAGGTTCACACAGTAATTCTACACGTTATTCACAATTCGGTGATGCTTAAAGAATTAGAATTATATACAGATTTAATATGAGTTCTACAGATAAGCCCCATAGTAATAACATTGTCAATAGCTTTACTGTGAATCCTAAGATATAGTTAAATGTTAAAGTGTATCCATCTAAACCGCTCGCAATATTTTCATAGTGTTATGCAATACTGACTGTAATCGATAAACAGCACTACTGAGCAGTGGTGTGAGTAGCCAGACATGTGAGTGATAAGCAGATTCAATGCACTGNTAAACCGCTCGCAATATTTTCATAGTGTTATGCAATACTGACTGTAATCGATAAACAGCACTACTGAGCAGTGGTGTGAGTAGCCAGACATGTGAGTGATAAGCAGATTCAATGCACTGTCAATGCTTGAGCATAACACTATGAAAATAATGCGAGCAGTTTAGTAGTGCCGTTTTTGTAACTAATGTTCAGCTGTTGTATTGAGTGATGTCAACAAAGCGTTGTGTTGTGTTGTGTGACGCGATTGTGCTCTCATTGGTCCACACATAACACACACCTCTAATTATGTGTTTATTTACGTCACACAACATGTCGTTTCACTAGTACGTTTACAATACTTGTAAAACATTGATATTTTTATTGTGCTATAACATCACTTATTATTATCGATAACTTATTTAAATGTTTTAATTAAGTTAATTCGTACAATGATATTATTTTAAATACATAAAGTATTATAGTGTGCATTGTCTAAGACATGACAATACTGTAGTATAAAAGATTATTTGTTCAAATCAAAATATTAATTTTAGATTTTATATTATTATCAGTCCATTTATACTATATTTATTTTAATTATTTTCAATTAGCAATCACTTATGATATTTATTTTACCAAATTTTAGTAAAAATGGGCTATTTTTACCAATGTTAGTGAAATAGTTGGTTAATAGTTGTTTATCATTCAAATAGTTATTTATAGTTAAATTAAAACTTGGCTAAAATGATCCTAATGGTATGATCGGTGGACATACCAACTCTAAGCCTAATGCTATTAACCGCTAAAATAGTTACTATAGTTATAATACGATGCTTTGTTCATTATGAATTGTGGTTAATAAATACAGATCTGTATACTGTATATCAAACTATAGGCATAAATCCGGACCAATTGCGGGGCAGTAGACGTGTCGGTGTATACGTCGGGACGACTGTCTATTCAAACATTGACAATAAGGTTGAAGACACGCAACCGGATGTGATGACACCAATGGACTTATTCACAACAATAAACGTGATAAATATTAAGGCCGATAACAGGATATCCTATGTGTTTGATTTCAAGGGCCCGTCGATGAGCATTGACACTGCCTGCTCGGCCTCATTGAGTGCATTAAATGTGGCAATAAATGACCTAAAACTAGGTATAATTTATAATGTAGACAATAAAAATACTTAAATGTACTAGGATTATACAATTATTCAAAAGCAAAACTAGGCGCGCTATTTTGCGATTCACTTGTAAACCATCAATTCGATTTTAAATCCGTTTTCATAGAATTGTACCCTGATAAATTTCTGATCGATTGATATATAATATGACATAATAGATAATTAATTTAGAATTTAAAAATTGATTTTGAAAATGAATTTATTTACATTAAATTATATAATTATAATTATAAATGTGAAAAATTGTTATCTAGTTATTCAACAAAACTCTGCCACCGCGTTTTTTTCTATTACTCCCAAACGAAATGAGCTAGATAAATCTGTAAAGTGCATAATGATGGTCCATATATCTTATATTTTTGTACCAAAAATTATTGAAATCATGTTACTAGAACATATAAATTTTTGGGTCATTTAAAAATGGCATGGTCTTAGCCCAGTTAAAAGGGGAGTCGGAGGAAGGGGGCGGTAATGCTATTCGGTAGAGGAGATGTCAAAGTATATGATAGCAAAATTTGATTAAGATTAGTTAAGCCATCTACGAGAAATTGCTGATTTCATTAACATTAGGTCTAGAGGGAAAAGTTGGTCTGAAGTTGTATTTTTATAACTACCAAAATATAGTATAAAAAAGTCAAAATTGGACTATTTTTGTTTAAATATTGTGTCAAATTTCTTAAATATTTTGTTCGTTACGGAAGACTGTTTATTCGATGTTTATGAAACTTTGCTATCATATACTTTGACATGTCCTCTACAGAATAGCATACCCGCCCCCTCCGACCCCCCTTTCAACTGGGCTAAAACCATACCATTTCAAAATGACCCAAAAATTTATATGTTCTAGTCACGTGATTTTAATAATTTTTTTGTACAAAGATATTAAATATATGGACCATCATTATGCCCTTTACAGATTTGATCTAGCTCATTTCGTTTGGTAGTAATAAGAAAAACGCGGTCGCGGAGTTTTGTTGAATGACTAGATAACTAAAGTGAAAATAGTTACAAATTTTGTCAGTTAACACAAATAACATGAATAATTATTTTGTTCAATATTTTATACTATTTCTACCTTGGTGACAAATAGAGAATTTTTATCCACAATTCATATATGAAAAATGTGGTTTATAGGATTGTTCGGCTAACCCCTCTCCTACCTATGAGAAATAACATTGGATCCCATGTTATCTAGTCCGTCATTATCGATTGTCGCCTCAGAAATCTTTATATCTCCCAAACGAAATGAGCTAGATCAAATCTGTAAACTATAATGTGTTGGTCCATATGTCTAGTATTTTTATAGAAACAAGGACCACACAGCGATGCTATACGTTAACCACAATTCGGGATATGAAATATATATGTGATTCTTCTTTCATATACTTAACACTGTCCATAGGATTAGCATTGCCATAGACTGATAAATCCCTTTAATACTGCGTGTTAGTAGCTTGTCAATACAGTTAATACCCATTAATTTTCTATAGAATTAGCTCCATAGAATTAGCATTACGCATGTTAAACCTATGTCATAGACTTAAGCTGGAAGCTCATAGAAACCCATGTTAAAGCATTCGCCCATAGACTTAACATTAATCTCATAGGATTAACATGGAGAAAAACTACCCTATCCTTTCATATTTCGCTTTCCCATAGGAAATAATCTCCCATAGGATTAACATTACCCATTGGATAACATTAGCCCATGTTAAGTCTATGGAAAAAGCTCTATAGGATTAGCATTAGCCATGTTAAAGTATAGCCATAGGTTTAAGCTGTAATTCTATGTTAAATCCCATAGAGCGGGGGGCCGGAGGGGAGGGGAGGGGTAGCCGAACGATTTTATAAACCACATTATTCATGCTGAATTGTGGTTAAAAATTATTGAAATCACGTGACTAGATCATATAGATTTTTGGGTCATTTTGAAATGCCATAGTTTTAGCCAAGTTGAAAGGGGGTCGGGAGGGGGCGGGTATGATACTTTGTAAAGGAGATGTCAAAGTATAATAATAACTTAGAACCACCTTCGTTAAATTGCTGGATTTTACATAGCATGCCACCAAACTATGTCAATTTTTGCATGTTAACCTATGGGGTTTTATAAAAATGTTATATTTAAACATAATTAACTATATCATGTAATATTACATTAAATGCTAATATTATTAGTAAAAATAATTTTTGAAAAATTTCATTCTATAGACAAAATATCGTCAATTGCAAAATTGTATATTTTGAGTTTTTATATCTAAAACTTGATATTTCAATTGACGATATTTTGTCTATAGAATGGAATTTTTTAAAAATTATTTTTACTAATAGTATTAGCATTTAATGTAGTATTACATGATATAGTTAATTATGTTTAATATAACATTTTTATAAAACCCCATAGGTTAACATGCAAAAATTGACATAGTTTGGTGACATGTTGTGTAAAATCCAGCAATCCAACGAAGATGGTTCTAGGTTATTATTATACTTTGACATCTCCTTTACAAAGTAGCATACCCGCCCCCTCCCGACCCCCCGACCTCCCTTTCAATTTGGCTAAAACTATGGCATTTCGAAATGACCCAAAAATCTATATGATCTAGTCACGTGATTTCAGTAATTTTTTTTATAAAAATACTAGACATATGGACCAACACATTACAGTTTACAGATTTGATCTTGCTCATTTTGTTTGGGAGATATAAAGATTTCTGAGACGACAATCGATAATGACGGACTAGATAATCTTATAGTTATACTTTAACATGGGGAAGCTCTGATAGGTTTAACATGGGGACTTTTTAACATGGGTTTCTATGGGATTACAGAGTAAGTCTATGGCATTGGGATAACATGTGTAATGCTAGTTCTAGGGCATAGGGATAACATGTGTAATGCTAAGTCTATGGCATAGGGATAACATGTGTAATGCTAAGTCTATAGCATTGGAATAACATGGGTAATGCTAAATCTATGGCATAAGAATAACGTGGCTAATGCTAAGTCTATAGGACTAATGCTAATCCTGTGAACACGTTTATAAATTTGTAAATTATACTAATCTATTCTTTGAGCATCACCCGAATTGTGGTTAACGTATAGCATCGCTGTGTGTGAGTTGTTTCTCAATTTGTGCAAATCATTGCCAAACAGAATGAACGCTGTTATAAGGATTTGTGGTGGAAATAATACAAAATATTAAACAAAATAATTATTAATGTTATTTGTGTTAAGTGACAAAATTTGTAAAACTATTTTCACTTTAGTTAACAATTTTTCCCATTTAATTTAATGTAAATAAATTCATTTTCAAAACCAATTTTTAAATACTAAAATAATTATCTATTGTCATATTATATATCAATCGATCAGAAATCTCAGGTAATCGGAAATCAGGGTAAAATTCTATGAAAACAGATTCAAAATCGTATTGATGGTTTAAGAGTAAATCGCAAAATAGCGCGCCTAGTTTTGCTTTTGAATAATTGTATATTTATACAAAAACTACACTAACAAGTGAAGTACACTCCTTGCATAACACAGATTTTAATGAACCATCATTTAAAGTTAACAATAAGCAAAAAATTAATTAAATATGAAATAATATATGTTAAGGTAATATTGATTACGCGGTGATCGCCGGCATTCACACAAACCTACAGCCGGTGTCCGTACAGATCGGACAGGAGGGAGGGATTCTCTCCCCGAAGGGTCAGTCCTGTCCTCTCGACGAGTCGGCCGACGGTTTTGTGAAGGGAGAGGCCGTGTGTTGTGTACTCTTACAGCGCCGGCAGTCGGCCTGTCGTGTGTACGCCAGCGTCCGATCGGTCGGTATTAACAACGACGGCAAGAAGACTATCGGTATGTTTTGCCCCT